ACTAATGCCCCTACCCTTTCAAGTTCCTATCAGTTGTGTTCTGGTAGAGACAGAGTCTCTACAACAGATGGTTCACAATATGCCCATTGTTGGGAAGGGGAYARTTAGAGTGACCAATGATAAAACTCCGTCTTCTATTTTATATGTCCCTAGACTTCATACCAACTTACTGTCTGTTAGTTCTTTGCAAAAAATTGGAATTGTTCTATGACCTTTCTTCATAGTAATTGTGTTTTCTAGGACCTAGAGTCAAAGAAAATGATTAGGAGTGGTCATGAGGTGAATAGAGTACCTTCTGGATGAGATCCCGAGACATCATGGCCATCATGTTAGCAGCAACAGTAGTAGTGGGTCGGAGTCAATGAACCAGATTATGCTTTGGCACAATCGCTTGTGACATCTTTTTTTAGTTCTTTGAATGTCTTTTCCCAAAGTTGTTCGAGTCTGTTCAATTATCTACTTTGGAGTGTGAGAGTTGTCAGTTAGGAAAGCATTGTAGACAGTMTTTTAAACCAAGTAATAAAAGAGGTACTTCTGCTTTTAATATTGTTCACACTAATGTATAGGGGCCATATCATATCCCTTCCATGGGAGAGGATTCCGTTACTTTCTCTTGTTTGTGGATGATTATACACGATATTCTTGGATATATTTGATGAGATCACGTGATGAGGTTCCTAACATGGTACGACAGTTCCACTAGATGGTTCTCACACAGATTGGAGCGAGAACTAAGGCTTTTAGATCGAATAATGCCAGAGAGTACTTTGAGAAGGACCTGACCACGTATCTCTTAGAACATGGTGTAGTTCATCAGAGCAGTTGTGCATATACACMRCAACAKAATGGARTTGCTGAGAGGAAAAACAGACACATTGTGGAGGTGGCAAGGAGTCTTATGGTGTGTGCTTCAGTTNGAGAGATATTTCATATACCTCTGAGGGTTTTTGGTTGTGTTTCTTTTGTTCACATTCTTGGCCCTCATCGCAAGAAATTGGATCCTAAGGCCAAGAAATGTGTTTTTCTTGGGTATGCTCAGAACCAAAAGGGGTATTGCTGTTATGACCCAGTGTCGAGGAGCAGATTTGTCACTATGGATGTTATGTTCTTTGAATCCACCTTCTTCTTCTCGAGTGGTTCTCCTTAGGGGGAGAGTTTTGGGGAGGAGAAATCACAATCTGTTTCTCTTCTTGTTTCTTTGGTGCCTCCACAAGTTCAGCCAACACCTCCATCAGTTCAGCTAGCATCTGCATCAGTTCAGCCAGCACCTGCACCTCCAGTTTCATTACCTGAGCCACTACGGGCAGCCTCACGGAAACATTAGCGCCGACAGATGATGGTTGACTCCACACATCCTCAACCCACACCACTCTTTGTCAGTCCTTCTGAAACTCCAAATTCGGCAGATACAGTTCCAGGTATTCCTTTTGAGCCTGAGTCTGTTATGTTTTCTGATGATAATGTTTCTATTCCCTAACACCATTGTTGCAGTTGATCCCACTGACCTTGATCTTCCCATTGAACTTCATAATGGGAAGAGAAAGTGTACAACCCATTGCTTTTCACACCATCTTTCCTATAGTGCCTTATCACCCTCCTACCGTGCTTTTCTTTCTTTCCTGGATTTTTTGTCTATACCCAGGAATGTTACTGAGGCTTTCTCCCAACCTGAGTGGAAAACAGCCATTCAAAATGGGATGGATGCTTTGGTTAAAAACCAAACTTGGGAAATAGTTGATCTCCCCCCAGACAAGGAGATAGTCGGATGTAGATGGGTATTCACAGTGAAGTATAGGGCTGATGGCAAGATATAGAGGTACAAGGCAAGGTTGGTAGCAAAAGGGTATACTTAGACCTACAATGTTGATTAGCTAAGTTGAGTTCTGTTCGTATCCTTTTTTCTCTAGTAGCCACCTATTCATGGCCTTTGTTCTAGCTTGATGTCAAAAATGCCTTCCTCAATGGTGATTTACAGGATGAGGTATATATGGACATTCCAACAGGCTTTTATGAGAATGTTGGTAAGGGAAAGGTGTGCAGACTCAGAAAATCTCTGTATGGATTAAAACATTCACCTAGGGCTTGGTTTGACAGGTTCAGAGGGGCACTCATCCATTTTGGATACACATAGACACAGTCTGATCACACTCTCTTTGTGAAGAGGAGAGATGCTCTGGTGTCAATTCTGATTGTGTATGTGGATGATATAGTAGCGGTGACAGGAAATGATCTGGAGGAGATTGATGATTTCAAAAAATCATTGCAACAAGAATTTGAGATCAGAGATCTTGGTGAGCTCAAATACTTCTTGGGGATTGAAGTTGCAAGATCCAAGCATGGGATCTTTCTTTCACAGAGAAAGTATGTAGTTGACCTATTGCGGGAGACTGGGAGGCTAGGGACCAAACCAGCAGACACTCCTATTGATCCAAATCACAGAGTTAATGGTGTGGATGGTGAATTGGTAAAGCATGTAGGGAGACATCAAAGAAATGTGGGCCGGTTGTTGTATTTGTGTATGACACGACCATATATTTCTTATGCTATCTGTGTTGTGAGTCAGTACATACATGCACCTCGGGTTTAGCACTGGGAAGCTATGGAGAGGATACTTGCATATCTGAAAAAGCACCCTGGCAGAGGCATTCTTTTCTTAAATCATGAGAATCTGAAGCTAGAGTCCTATACAGATGCAGACTGGGCAGGATGCTTAGATGACAGGAGGTCTACATTAGGAGTGTGTACCTTTGTAGGTGGAAACTTGATCTCCTGGAAGAGTAAGAAGCAAGCGGTTGTGGCAAGGTGAAGTACAGAGGTTGATTATAGATCATGGTGTCTCAGAACTTCTTTGGGTTAGATCTCTTTTGAGTGAGATTGGGGTGAAAGCAGAGGAACCTATGATGTTATACTGTGACAAAACACATTGAAGTTGATAGACACTTTATAAGAGAAAGGGTAACAACCGGAGAAGTCTGTTTGCCTTATGTCTCTTCAGAGTTGCAACTAACTGATGTTCTCACTAAAGGG